GTAGTGATAGCTCTTAAGAAACGTAAGTCTTGGGGAAGGGTTGGGGGGAGGGCATGGGAGGAGGGGAGGGAAAGGGAGAGGGACCTGGAACTGACTTGTGAAGCAACCTTGTTTCTTATCTAAATTTAAACTGAAAAATAAAAAAAAAGAAACGTAAGTCTTCAGGACAGGGTTGGAGGTGAGCCTTGACAAAGTGAGACAGAGCCTGGCTGTTGGGGCGAAAGAGCTGGTGTAGACAGGACAGAATTTGTCGAGTGTCAGGAGGTGACTGTGAGGAGGTGGGTTGTAGTGTATGAACTCCTTGTGGTGAGTGAGTTAGATCTGGTCCTCAGAGGGCTGCAGCCCTAGCTGCTTCATCAGCCCAGTTGTTGCCCCTAGAGATAATGGATCTGTCAGTCTGATGAGACTGGCAGTAATTAATCCCTATAGCTTTGGGGAGGTGGGAGGCCTTTAGTAAGGCCAAAATATGACTGAGTCAGTTATGGACCCTCCTTTAGTGGTAAGCAGTCTATGCTCTTTCCAGATAGCAGCATGGGACAGGAGGACATGAAAAGCATACTTAGACTCTGTGTAAACATTTAGAGAATGTCCCTGTGCCAACTGGAAGACACGGGTGAGGTTTACTGATTCAGCCTGCTAGTTAGTAGTGTGGGCAGGGAGTGCCCGTGCCTCCACCACCCTGGTATCTGACACTATGCTGTAGCCTGCTCTACGGGTCTCCCCGTATAGAAAGGAGCTGCCATCTGTGTACCAGGTATAGGTGGCCTGAGGTAGTGTGCCTTCCTGTATGTGTGAAGGATGGGGCAATAGTTCCTCTAAGGTTTCAATACAGGAATGAGATGGAGAGTAGTTAGGCTGAGGTAGAAGTTTTGAGATACTGAGGGGTGAGCAGGATTGGAAGTTAAGTGTGGCATCTTCTACCAGTGCCACCTGAGGAGAAAGAACTTGAGAAGGGGTAGAGTTTGTAAGCCTCTGTAAGTTAGGAGGTGAGACAGGTTGTGGTGGGAAAAGACAGTGATAGGTGACCCAAAGGTTAGTTTCTTGACTCACGAAGGAGGAGTTCAGCAGCTGCTACAGCGCGTGTGCAGGGTGCCCACCTTTGGGGAGTTAGGTCTAGTTTCTTCAACAGATACACTACAGGTGCAAAGGAAGATCCTAGCTGGTGACCTAGAGCTCCAAGGGCGTGTCCCTCCTTTTCTGCTACATAGAGGAGAAAGGACGAGTTAGGTCTGGGGGATGAAGGGCTGGGGCCTGGAGAAGAGCCTGTGTGAGTTTCTGAAAGGGCTTAGTTACAGGGTTAAGAAAAGGTTCATGTGGAGAGCCAAGAGCTGCCTCATACAGGGGACGAGCAAGGAGAGAGCAAGAGGGGATCCAGGAACGTAAGAAGCCAGCTATTCCTAGAAATGATAAAAATTCCTCTTTAGGGGCTGGAGAGATAGGTCAGAGGTTAAGAGCACTGCCTGCTCTTCCAGAGGTTCTGAGTTCAATTCCCAGCAACCACATGGTGGCTCATAACCATTTATAATGAGATCTGGTGCCCTCTTCTGGCCTGCAGGCATACATGCAGGCAGAACACTGTGTACATAATAAATAAATAAAATCTTAAAAAACAAAACAGGGTTTTAAAAAAATTCCTCTTTAGTAGAAGGAACTGTAAGAGATTGGATTAGGTTTTTTTATGTCTAAGGTAATAGCTTTGTGAGTTGGGGTGATGGTTAATCCCAAGTAGGTGACCTGAGGAGTAGACAGTTGGCCCTTAGAAGGTGAGACTCTATAACCCCTGCTGGACAGGAAATTTAGAAGAGTTGAGGTGTCAGTCTGCCTAACTTCTAAGGATGGGCTGCAAAGTAAAATATCATTATATTGTATGAACTTAGATTTGGGGAGAGACAGCGAGAGCAGGTCAGAAGCTAGAGCCTGACCAAATAAGTGTGGGCTGCCCCGGAAGCCCTGAGGTAGAATGGTCCAGGTGAGCTGCATAGAGGCATGAGTGTCAGGGTCAATCCAGGTGAAAGCAAAGATATTCTGTGACTGAGTGTCAAGGGGTATAGAGAAAAAGGCATCCTTAAGATCCAAAACTGACAAATGAGAGGTCACTGAGGGGATACTGGAGAGGAGTGTGTAAGGATTAGGTACCACAGGATGGAGGGGGACCACTGCAGAATTAATGAGCCGGAGCACCAGGCTATAGGTCTCATTAGGTTTTTTTTTTTTAATGCCAGTATAGGGGTGTTAAAGGGAGAGGATGTAGAACCAAGTAACCATTTTCTTAGGAGGTCAGAGATAATAGGCTTAAGTCCCCGAAGGCTTTGGAGTGGGAGTTGGTATTGAACTTGAATGATGTACTTAGAGGGGTCCTGTAACTGAATGACAATGGGGGAATGGTGCCTAGCCACAGAAGGGTTTTGGGTGTCCCAGACTTTGGGGTCTACCTGAGAGGCTGGCAGAGGAAACGACTTACTGGAATCTGAAGGGTGGGTGGCTAGGAGGAGGAGGAGAAGAGCCGCTGGTGAGTCTAGAGTTAGGTGGATGTGGGGAGCAAAAGAAATAGAAGCTCCCACCTTTGCTGAAAGATCCCTCCCCAGTAAGGGCACAGGACAAGTTGGTATAACTAAAAACGAATGAGTGAGGGGAATTTTCCTGTATATATAGCTAAGTGGTGGAGTCTGACGAGGTAAGTAAGGCTGTCCCTGTACCCTGACAATAGGGAGATGAGAAGGAGAGGTGGATCCCCAAAACTCCCTTAGGACTGAGTATGTGCACTGGTGTCCAAAAGGAAGGAGATGGATCACCCTGATATCTTAATGTCTACCCGGGGCTCCCTGTGTGAGATGACAGTGGTCGGGTCAAGAGAGTCCGGTCCCCTTTACTCATTGTCATTGTCCATAGCCAGAGCTAGGAAGTCAGCTACAGGGCAGTCTGTGTCTGATGTCCTTCTGCCACAAGGGGCACGGGGACAGTCCACTGACCAATGGCCCTCTTTCTGGCATTTTGGACACGGTTTGAGAGGCTCTTGGGGATTAGGGGCGCGACCAGGCCCAAGGCCCTTCCTGATCACATTTGAAACAGGGACGCTGTGGTCCTCGAATCCTGGAGGGCAAGGGAACCCGGGCAGACTTTGAGGCCAGTCGGGCGGCCTTGGCCAGCATCTGGTATTTGTCTTTAAAGGCCTTGTTATCTCTCCCATGGTACACCTTGAAAGCCACTCTTAAAGCTTCTGCCTGTGGGGTTTGGGGCTCCTGCTCTAAAGTTTTAAATTTAGCCCTAATGTTAGGGTAGCTCTGAGAAAAAAAGTATGCCATAAGGAGCTGTCTTCCCTCTATCCCCTCTGGGTCTATGTTGGTGTACTGTAAGAAGGCCTGTAAGAAGGCCTGTGTAAGGCGTTCTAGGAACTGAGAGGGGTTCTCTGCTTTGTCCTGAATTACCTCTAGTTAATTGGTTTTAGGACAGCCCTATGTGGACCAGCCATGAGGCAGGTCGTAAACTGATCTCTAGCCAAAGTTCCCCTTGGAGTGTTATAGTCCCATTGGGGCTCCTGATCTGGAACACCCTCTGTCCCAGTAGGCTAAGCCACATTGGTATGGTGTACCTCGTTTGCATATGCCCTAGCCTGCTCCCAAACTCGCTTCCGTTCTTTAGGTGATGGGGAAGTCCTGTGTATATGTCAATAAAGCACTGTTGGCCAATAGGGAAGCAAGATAGGTGGGACTAGGAGTCAAGGAGGATTCTGGGAGAGGCAGAGTCACAGACAATGCAGCCTGCCAGAGGAGTAAGAGGTCTGGATCCTTTTCTCTGGTAAGAGAAATACTTAAATTAACAATTATGGATTAAATACTTAAGTCAGAGATAGCCAGTAAGAACCAAGCAAACAGCCAACAGCTTCATAATTAATACAATGCCTTGTGTGTTATTTGGGGACTACAGCTGTGGCAGGGCCCAGGAGGATGGCAGGGAAGGCTACACTCTACATATGGTGTCAGGAGTGAGATATGAATTTCCACATAGAATAACAAAAGCTGAAAAGGAATTTTAGAAACAAAAGAACAGAGAGAAGCATGGCTTCTTGGTAGCAGCATTTTTCTCAGGTGGGCTCTGTTTTGCTAGAGACAAGCAGAGACTCACATGGCTTGCTTAAGGGAGTCTTCCTGACTCAGCATAAGCAAAAAAAACCCCAGCAAGGTTCTTTTCAGAGGCTCTGCTAATAATTGGATGGTGTGCACAAGCATCTGGCAGTGACAGTGACCACATCTCCAAGCTGGCACCATGCTGCTGGATGTCAGCATAGACTGAGGCAGTGAGCTGGAGTCAAACTTACGCCCACCATCTTGGAAAAACTGCAGTTTAAACAGCCATGGTTTTTAGCAGATAAGACACGTGGCCAGAAAAACATAAAGATTTACAGTAAAGATGGACAGAACTTCGGGTGACTGTCCAGGCAGCGAGACGTCTTTGTCAATTCTAGTGTTTATATATTATCCTTCTGTGGTCTTTGATGGCGTTGAAGACAGTTTTAATTATAGTTTTCCTTAGTTATGACAAAAGATAAGCTACATGTAGGACTTTGGACTCACAAGGATGGGATATATTCTTTAAATCTTGCTGAATGTTGATGGACAAAATATTGTAACTGTGTTCTTGCTTGATAGCTGTTCTGTTATATATAATTTGACTATGTTAAAGTTAAGACCTTTCTTTTTGTTTAGACAGACAAGAGGAGATGATGGGGAAGTCCTGTGTATATGTCAATGAAGTACTGTTGGCCAATAGGGAAGCAAGATAGGTGGGACTAGGAGTCAAGGAGGATTCTGGGAAAGAGAGGCAGACTTAGTATAATATCTGAGTCCCTACACCCAAGGACCTCTTCTGGTGTCTGTGTTTACTGTACACAAGAGTGCAAGACATACATATAGGAAAAACATCAATACACACGAAACAAAAAATAAGCCTTTTAAAAGTGATGTTTTGACTCATGAATGTCCCTCATTATTTTTGTTGGTTAGGAGAACTGAGTCACACAGAGCTCATGAAGTTTCTTAAAAAGACAATCCCTGGAATTTATATTGTGCCTCTAGAGATTGGGAAGAACATGATGCAGGTAAGATGCCTGCTAAATGTTTGCTATGGGGTTTGATAGACAGTGTTATTTGAACACTTTGTCTTGCAAACCTATCCCCACTAGTTTGGTTTGGTTTTGGGATGAAGGATTTTGCTGTGTAGCCCAGGCTGGCCTGGGACTGATCTTCCTGCACCAGCCCCTGAGTATTGGCATTTCAGGCATGTGACATCATGCTCATGAACTCTAACGGGGATAGGAGGGTCTCACCCTGTATAAGCCATTTTTCTGTTGCTGTGATAAAAACACCAAGAGGAAAAGCAAGCTATATAGAGTTTATATGGGTTTAAGGTTCCAAAGGGATAGGAGTTCATCACAGCAGAAAGTTATGACAGCAGGAGAGGAAGTGGGTGAGCACAGCTTCAGCTGCAACCATAAAGCAGAGAGAGCAACCTGGATGTGAGGCAAGGCTACCATTCCTCAAAGCCACCCCAGTGATGTTCTTCCTGCAAGGCTGAACCTCCCCATTTCATCCATGGACAGCATACCAACTGGGGACCAGGTGTTTTAATATCTGAGCCTAGGAGGGCATTCTCATTGAAATTGTCCTTCACATGAAATTGTCCCTCACACACCTGAAATCTTTGCCCCATTAGATCCATTAGAGAAGATGTCAGTTACCAACAGTCCCAGCCTTTTTTTGTTTTATTTTAATTTTAAATAGCTTGCTTCACATGTCAATCCCAGTTCCCTCTCCCTCCCCTCCTCCCCCACACCCCCACCATTCCCCCAGCCTCCCACCCTATCGCTACTTCCTTCCACATAGGGGATATCTAGAGTCTGTCATTTCACTCAGGGCAGGGTCCAGGCACTCCCCTAAGAGTCCAGGCTGAGAGAGCATCCCTCTTTGTGTTATGGACACACAATATCTCTTTGTATGCCAGGAATAAACACTGATCCACTGCTCAGGAACCCATAGGTTGCCCAGGCCTCCTCACCGACTCTCACACTCAGGGGGTCTGGATCAGTCCCATGCTGGCCTCCCAGCTGTTGGTTTGGGGTCCAAGAGCTCCCCCTTGTTCAGATACCTGTCTCTGCTGGTTTTGCCAGCCCATTCTTTGCCAATTTGCTCATCCCTCCTCTCTCTCTGTCACTGGGTTCCATTGGTTCAGTTCAGTGTTTAACTGTGGGTGTTTGCCTCTGCTTCCATCAGTCACTGGATGAAGGCTCCAGGATGGTTATAGGACATCAAGTTCATTATCAGGAATCGGCATTCAAAGTGGTGTCTCCACTATTGCTTAGCTTGCCAGTTGGTGTCATCCCTTTAGATCACTAGGGGTCTCACTGGTGCCAGATCTGTCTTCTAACCTATGATTCCCTCTTCCCCCTATTGTACCCCCCACTCAACCTTCCTGTTCCCCCATGACCTACTCTCTCTTCCTCTTCTCCCCCTCACTTCTTCCCAGCTCCCACTCCCCCTCACCCCTTGCCGTGTTCCCAATCTGTTCAGGAGATCTTGCCTCATTCATCTTCTCTGGGGTACCAGGCATATATCTCTTAGTTTCTTTCCTGTTTCCCAGACTCTCTATCAGTGGAAGTGCAGACTGGCACTATCCTGATCCATGTCTAAAATCCATATATGAGTGAGTACATACCATGTTTGTCTTTTTGTGACTGGGTTATCTCACTCTGGATGGTTTCTTCTAGTGCCATCCATTTGCCTGCAAATTTCAAGATTCCATTGTTTTTTTCTGCTGAGTAATACTCCGTTGTGTAAATGTACCACATTTTCTCTATCCACTCTTCAGTTGAGGGGCATCTAGGTTGCTTCCAGGTTCTGGCTATTACAAATAATGCTGCTATGAACATAGTGGAGCAGATGCCCTTGTTGTATGAATTTGCCTCTTTTGGATATATGCCTAAGAGTGGAATTGCTGGGTCTTGTGGTATATTGATTCCCATTTTCCTGAGCAATCTCCATACTGATTTCCAAAGTGGCTGTAAGAGTTGGCACTCCCACCAGCAGTTGAGGAGTGTTCCCTCTCTCCACATCATCTCCAGCATAAATTGTCTTCGGTGTTTTTGATTTTAGCCATTCTGACAGGAGTAAGATGGTATCTCAAAGTTGTTTTGATTTGCATTTTCCTGATGGCTAAGGATGTTGAGCACTTTCTTAAGTGTCTCTTGGCCATTTTAGACTCCTCTATTGAGAATTCTCTATTTAGTTCTGTACCCCACCTTTTTATTGTATCCTTTGGTGTTTTGGAGACTTGCTTATTGATCTCTTTGTAAATTTTGGAGATTAGCTCTCTGTCAGATGTGGGGTTAGTGAATATCTTTTCCCATTCTGTGGACTGCCTTTTTGTCTTGTTGACTGTGTCCTTTGCCTTACAGAAGCTTCTTAGTTTCAGGAGGTCCCATTTGCTAATTGTCGATCTCAGTGTCTGTGTCACTGGTGTTATGTTCAGGAAGTGGTCTCCTGTACCAACTCGTTGAAGAGTATCTCCCCTTTTCTCTTCTAAGAGTTTCAGTGTGGTTGGATTTATGTTGAGATCTTTGATCCATTTGGACTTAAGTTTTGTACATAGACATGGATCTATCTGCAGTCTTCTGCATGCCAATACGCAGTTATGCCAGCACCATTTGTTGAAGATGCTTTCTTTTTTCCATTGTATAGTTTCAAGTGTTCAGGGTTTTCGATTCGGTTCCATTGGTCTACCTGTCTATTTTTGTGCCAATACCAAGCTGTTTTCAGGACTATAGTTCTATAATAGAGCTTAAAGTCAGGTATGGTGATGCCTCCTGAAGTTCCTTTATTGTATAGGATTGTTTTGGCTATCCTGGGCCTTTTGTTTTTCCATATAAAGTTGATTATTGTTCTTTCCAGGTCTGTGAAGAATTGTGCCGGAATTTTGATAGGGATTTCATTGAATCTGTAGACTGCTTTTGGCAAGATTTCCATTTTTATTATGTTGATCCTAACAATCCAAGAGCATGGGAGATTTTTCCATTTTCTGGTATCCTCTTTGATTTCTTTCTTCAAAGACTCAAAGTTCTAGATATACAGGCCTTTCACTTCCTTGGTTAACATTATCCCCAGATATTTGATGCTGTTTATGGCTATTGTAAAGGGTGATGTTTCTCTGATTTCTTTCTCAGCCACTTCATCATCTGTATATAATAGGGTCACTGCTTTTTTGAGTTAACCTTGTATCCTGGCACTTTGCTGAAGGTGTTTATCAGCTCTAGGAGTTCCCTTGCAGAGTTTTTCGGGTCACTTATGCAAACTATCATATCTGCAAATAGTGAAAGCTTGATTCTTCTTTTCCTATTTGTATCCCCTTGATCTCCTTTTGTTGTTGTATTGCTCTAGCTAAAACTTCAAGTACAATATTGAAGAGATATGGAGAGAGTGGACAGCCTTGTCTTGTTCCTGATTTTAGAGGAATTGCGTTGCGTTTCCCTCCATTTAGTTTAATGTTGGCTGTTGGTTTACTGCATATTGCTTTTATTATGTTCAGGTATGTTCCTGTTATCCCTGATCTCTCTAGGACCTTTATCATGAAGGGGTGCTGGATTTTGTCAAAGGCTTTTTCAGCGTCTAGCGAGAGGATCATGTGGTTTTTCTTTCGCAGTTTGTTTATATGGTGGATTACATTGATAGATTTTCTAATGTTGAACCATCCCTGCATTCCTGGGATGAAGCCTACTTGGTCATGGTGGATGATTTTTCTGATGTGGTCTTGAATCCGGTATGCGAGTATTTTATTGAGTATTTCTGCATCGATGTTCTTGAGGAAAATTGGTCTATAGCTCTCTTTCTTAGTTGTGTCTTTGTGTGGCTTGGGTATCAAGGTAATTGTAGCCTCATAAAAAGAGTTTGGCAGTGAGCCTCCTACTTCTATTATGTGGAATACTTTGAGGAGTATTGGAATTAGCTCTTCTTTGAAAGTCTGGTAGAATTCTGCACTGAAGCCATCTGGGCCTGGGCTTTTTTTTGTTTGGGAGACTTTTGATGACTGCTTCTATTTCATTAAGGGTTATAGGTCTGTTTAGATTGTTTATCTGTTCTTGATTTAGTTTTGGCAAGTGATATCTATCCAGGAAATTGTCCATTTCCTTTAAATTTCCAAATTTTGTGGAGTACAGATTTTCAAAGTATGCCCTGATGATTCTCTGGATTTCCTCTGAGTCTGTTGTTATGTCCCCTTTTTCATCCCTGATTTTGTTAATTAGCATGCTCTTTCTCTGTCTTTTGGTTAGTTTGGACAAAGGTTTGTCTATTTTGTTGATTTTCTCAAAGAACCAACTCTTCGTTTCATTGATTCTTCTCAATGTTTTCCTGGTTTCTACTTGATTGATTTCAGCCCTCAATTTGATTATTTCCTGGCATCTGCTCCTCCTTGTTGAGTTTACCTCTTTTTGTTCTAGAGCATTCAGCTGTGCTATTAATTCTCTAGTGTGACTGTTCTCCAGTTTCTTCATGTGGGCACTTAGTGCTATGAACTTTCCTCTCAGCACTGCTTTCAGAGTGTCCCATAAGTTTGGATATGTTGTGTCTTCATTCTCATTGAATTCCAGGAAGTCTTTGATTTCTTTTTTTATTCCTTCCTCTACCCAGGGATGGTGCAGTTGTGCATTGTTCAGTTTCCATGAGTTTGTAGGGTTTCTGCGATTTGTATTATTGTTGAATTCTAATTTTAACACATGGTGGTCTGATAAGATACAGAGGGTTATTCCAATTTTTTTGTATCTGTGAAGATTTGCTATGTTTCCTATTATGTGGTCAATTTTAGAGAAGGTTACATATGGCGCCGAGAAGAAGGTATATCCCTTTGTGTTTGGGTGGAATGTTCTATAGATGTCTGTTAAACCCAGTTCGGTCATAACTTCTATTAGTTCTTTTGTTTCTTTGTTAATTTTCTGTCTGGAGGTCCTGTCTAGTGGTAAGAGTGGAGTGTTAAAGTCTCCTACTACTAGTGTGTGAGATTTTATGTGCGATTTGAGCTTTAGTAATGTTTCTTTCACGAATGTGGGTGCCTTTGTATTTGGGGCATAGATGTTCAAAATTGAGACTTCATCTTGATGGACTTTTCCTTTGATGAATATGAAATGTCCTTCTTCATCTCTTTTGATTGCTTTTAATTTGAAGTCTAGTTTGTTGGATATTAGGATTGCTACACCCGCTTGTTTCTTGGGTCCGTTTGATTGGAAAATCTTTTCCTAACCCTTTACTCTGAGATAACATCTGTCTTTGACGTTGAGATGTGTTTCTTGTATGCAGAAGAAGGATGGTTTCTGTCTTCATATCCATTCTGCTACTCTGTGCCTTTTTATAGGCAAGTTGAGACCATTGACATTGATGGATATTAATGACCATTGATTGATGACTCTTGTTTGTGCTTGATTTATTGGTAGTGGAGTTATTGTGTGTAGGTTCTCCTCCCTTTTTCTTTTGGCGTTTGGTAAAATGAGATTATCTATTGCTTATGTCTTTGTGAGTGTAGTTATCTTTGTTGGGTCTAGGTTTTCCTTCCAGCACTTTCTGTAGAGCTGGATTCATGGATACGTATTGTTTAAATGTGGCTTTGTTATGGAATATTTTGTTTTCTCCATCTATGGTAATTGTAAGCTTTGCTGGATATAGTAGTCTGGGCTAGCATCCCTGTTCCCTTAGTGTTTGTAGGACATCTGTCCAGGATCTTCTGGCTTTCATAGTTTCCATTGAGAAGTCAGGTGTAATTCGGATAGGTTTGCCTTTATATGTTACTTGGCCTTTTTCTTTAGCTGCTCTTAATATTTTCTCTTTATTCTGTAGGTTTGATGTATATGGCGAGGTGACTTCTTTTTCTGGTCCAGCCTATTTGGTGTTCTGTAAGATTCTTGTATTTTCATAGGCATATCCTTCTTTAGGTTAGGGAAGTTTTCTTCCATGATTTTGTTGAATATATTTTCTGTTCCTTTGAGCTTTATTTCTTCCCCTTCTTCTATACCTATTATTCTCAGGTTTGGCTTCTTCACGGTATCCCATATTTCCTGGATATTTTGTGTTAGGAATTTGTTGGTTTTGAGATTTTCTTTGTTTGATGACTGTATGTCCTCTAATGAGTCTTCAACACCTGAGATTCTCTCTTCTATCTCTTGTATTCTATTGTTGATACTTGCATCTGTAGTTCCTGATCGTTTACTCAGCTTTTCTATTTCCAGTATCTCCTCGTTCTGTGTTTTCTTTATTGTTTCTATTCAGCTTTCAATCCTTCAACTGTTTGAGTTGTTTCCTTCATTTGTTTGGTTGTTTTTTCTTGGTACTTTTTAGATTCTTTGAGAGATTTGTTTATTTCTTGAATTTTCCCCCCATTTCATGGATTTTTCTTTGTTTTTTTCTTCTATTTCTTTAAGGGATTTCCTCATTTCCTCTTTGAGGGTCTCTATCATCTTCATAAAATAATTGTTAAGGTCTGTCTCCTCTGCTTAGTCTATGTAGTGCTTTTTAGGTCTTGCTGGCATTGGTTGTCTAGATTCTGGTAGAGTCATGTTGGTCTTTTGACTGCTGAGTGAGCTCTTATTCTGTCTTCTTCCCATCTCTTCTTCCAGTGGGTGCAGGTGGGGTTTTTCCTTCCATCTCCACTGGTCTCCTCCCTTCCTGAAGCTGAAGCTGGGGATGCTGACACTGAAGCTGAGGCTGAAGCTGGGGTTGCCGGAGGTTGGGGCCTGGAAGGGATGATGCCTTTCCTGTGTGGGTGGGTCTTCTGGATGCCAGGAACGGGCCCCCGGAATATTGAGGGGATGGGTGTTGGGCGGGGGATGGGGAGTGGCCCCACAGAGACCCAGGCTCACTTGAAGCTGGGGTCTCCAGAGGTTTGGACCTGAAAGGCCAGCCCCAGCCTTTGATTTCTCATTGTACCTGTTTTAGGATATGGAGAACAAGGTCTTGAATGCCAGTTCTGAACTATGCCAGATTCTTGCTGAGGATCCTAAACTGCGTGAAGGTTACATTGCTGTTACATTCTTCAAGAAACTCAGGATCCTGTATGTATCCTTCTGTTCCATGGTAGCACCTACATGGCATTGATGTTTCTTCTATTCCAATAAATTGACTGCATTGATTTGGATCCTCCCATAGCAATGAAAATAAGTTATCATTAAGATGTCCCACGAGAAGCTTTGTGGACTTAATTTGTTATCTCTCTCTCTCTCTCTCTCTCTCTCTCTCTCTCTCTCTCTCTGTGTGTGTGTGTAACATGTTCCTATGTGTGTATACGCATGTGTCAGCATGAGTGAGGAAGTCAGAGTTCTATGCTGTGTATCTTCCTCTACCTTTCCATTTTAGAGACCTTAAAATTTTTATTTTATATTAATCATGTATGCATGTGGCATTGGGGGGGTGTAGGCATGTGCACATGTGGGTTCAGTACCACAGAGGCCAGAGGAGGGCATCAGATGGTCTCAAGCTGGATTACAGGAGATTGTGGTTGCTAGGATCCTAATGTGAGTTGTTGGCAAAAGCAGCAAACACTCTTAACCAATGAATCATCTCTTAAGCCCTCTACTTTAAAATTTTGAATTATGTTCACTCACTTAGTGTGTGCTTGCTGGATAACATGATGATGATGATGATGATGATGATGATGATGATAAGAAGAAGAAGAAAAGTTTCTTTTTTTCTTTTTTTTTAAATTTTTTTATTTTCCATTTTAAATTTAGATAAGAAACAAGGTTGCTTCTCAAGTCAGTTCCAGGTCCCTCTCCCTTTCCCTCCCCTCCTCCCGTGTCCTCCCCCATCCCCCCCCGTTATCCCCTCATTCCCCCAGGGAGGGTGAGGCCCTCCATGGGGGTGTCCATAGTCTGTCATTTCATATAGGGCAGGGCCTAGACCCTTCCCCAAGAGTTCAGTGTGAGAGTGCACCTCACATTGTTCTATGGGAGTCCAGAGTCCGTGTGTATACTTGGGATGGGTACTGATCTGCTGTCCAAGGCTCAATAGATTACCTAGGCCTCCTCACTGACACCCAGATTCAGGGGGTCTTGATCAGTCCCATGCTGGATTCCCAGGCTGATGCCTGGGATTCAAGAGTTAACCTTTGTCTGGTCAGCTGTTTCTGGGGGTTAAACCAGCCCAGTCTTAATCCCTTTGATCATCAGTCCTCCCTCTCTGATACTGGCTTTCTTGAGTTCAGCTCAGTACTTAAGCAGCCACTAAATGAAGTTTCTGTTTCCCAGACTCTCTGGCCATAGGATTGTAGGCTGACACTCCCCAGATCTATGTCTAAAATCCATATATGAGAGAGTACATGCCATGTTTCTCTTTTTGGGACTGGGTTACCTCACTCAGGATGGTTTCTTCTAGTGTCATCCATTTGCCTGCGAATCTCATGATTCCATTATTTTTTCTGCTGAATAGTACTCCATTGTGTAGATGTACCACATTTTCTCTATCCACTCTTCGGGTGAGGGACATCTAGGTTGCTTCCAAGTTCTGGCTATTACAAATAAAGCTGCTATGAACATAGTGGAACAGACATCTTTGTTATATGAATGGGCATCTTTTGGATATATGCCTAAGAGTGGAGTTGCTGGGTCTTGTGGTAGGTTTATTCCCATTTTTCTGAGGAATCTCCATACTGCTTTCCAAAGTGGCTGAACCAGTTGGCACTCCCACCAGCAATGGAGGAGTGTCCCCCTTTCACCACATCCTCTCCAGCATAAATTGTCATTGGTGTTTTTGATTTTAGCCATTCTGACAGGAGTGAGATGGTATCTGAGAGTTGTTTTGATTTGCATTTCCCGGATGGCTAAGGATGTTGAGCACTTTCTCAAGTGCCTCTCAGCCATTTTAGACTCCTCTATTGAAAACTCTCTATTTAGTTCTGCAGCCCACTTCTTAATTGGGTCCTTTGCTGTTTTGGAGACTTGCTTCTTGAGTTCTTTGTAAATTTTGGAGATCAACCCTCTGTCAGATGTGGGATTAGTGAATATTTTTCCCATTCTGTGGGCTGCCTTTTTGTCTTGCTGACTGTGAGAAGAAAAGTTTCTCCATGATCTTGTAGCACACTTCTGAGTTAGACAGGTTGATTGCAAAGCCCCAGAGCCCTCCTGTCCCCGCCTCCCCAGAGTTGATATTATCAAAGTACTGCTATACCTGGATATTTTACTCTATTTTCTGTTTCTGTTCTAAGGGGAACAGGTAACCCAGGATCAATTGCTCACATTTCCATGTCAATCACTTCATTGACTGAGCCATCTCCCCAGCATCTTGTGATTTATATTCTATGAAAGATTTGCACCTGTGCCCTTCCTTAGGAGAGGAAGATCCTGTAACTCTGTGGACTGGGGACCCATGGTGTATTAAATAGCTTAATCCACAAATAAGACCTTCAAATCTGACAGCAAACTTTGATTCTTCAGGAAGGAGTTTTCTGAGAGATGCCAAATACCTCCCATGAAAGATATAATCTTAATTTCTGTCAAATCACTTAAAGGGTAAGTTCTCCTTTTAAAATTTTTGTTTTTATTATGTTATGTGTATGATTGTATGATTGTTTTTCTGCATGTATGTCTAAGAGAAAGTTTGATTCTCTGGAAGTGGAGTTACAGACAGTTGTGAGGTGCCAAGTTATTGTTGGGAATCGAACTGAAGACCAGTGGAACCTAACTAACTTATGAACCTCAGCTCTGAATTTCTAAGTCTTCTCTTCATCCCCATTTTCACCTCTTTAGTCTCACTGTTCTCTTCTCTACCCTTTATTCACCTGATATTTTGAACTTCTGCTTTCTTTTGAGATAAAACCTTGCTTTGTATCTCAGCTGGCTTAAAACTCATGCAACTTTCCTGCCTCGTCCTTCTGAGTGCTGGGACTATAAGCATGTGCCGCCACACTCAGCATCCTCTCGGTTAAAGAAAAAAACTTGGCAGTTTGATTGTATTTGAGGTCAACTGCCCTTGTTATACAGATTCCTGTATCATATAAGAAACCAGTTATTACTAATGAGGAAGCAGAAAGTGTCTTGGGGATTGCAAAGCTCGTTGACACAGGAGACTCATTAAGAGGACATCTCTCTCCAACATAATTGACAGAATTTCATGGAGGTGAGATGGTTCTAGCCAAGTGACATGTAGTAGTTGGAGAGAGAGAGCGAGAGCGAGAGAGAAAGAGAGAGAGAGAGAGTGTGTGTGTGTGTGTGTGTGTGTGTGTGTGTGTGTGCACCTGTCTGCAAGGGCAGAGGAGGCCAGAAGAGGGCATCAAATCCTTTGACACTGGAGTACAAACATCTGTGAAGCAACTGATGTGGGTGATCCTAACTTGGGTCCTCTGAAAGAGCAGTGCACATTCAACTGTTAAGTTATCTCTCCAGCCACTTGTATTATTTTCATTACATTTATTTGTGTATTGTGTGTTGTCACACGTGTGCCCTGGTGTACATGTGAAGGTAGAGTACAGTTAAAGGAGTCAGTTATGCTTTTCTTCTTAATGGTCCTCAGGGATTGAACTCAGGTCATCAGTTTTGACAGCAGCTGCCTTTACCTGCTGTACCATCTCCACAGAGAGCAGTCAAGGATGTCTCCAAGCTATCAGTTTGAGCAACTGACTGAAGAGTATTGTCATTTACAGAGACAAGGAGCCCATGGGGATGAACAGAGGGTGTGTGTTTGTTTATGCAGGCAGTTTGACTGTGCTGTGGAGAGACAGGATGTAGACTTCATTTGTAAGCTCAGTTTGACATGTCAAACCGGTAGAGTCGTATTTCAGGCCATTGAAAATACATGTCTGAAGTTCAAGATGGTGTCAGGGTTGGACACATTCAGAGGTCTTCTGTATAAACATTAATTTTGTTTGCTTTAGCTTTTTTGTGGGAAAAACATAACTATATATAAAAGCAGAAAGTAATAGAGTGAATATCTCCATAATTAGTCTAATCTGTTGATAACATTTGTTAGTTTTGGTCTGGTAAGATGGCTGAGTGGATTAAAAGTGATTGACAGGGAAGCCTGACTAGCTGACTTAGACTGTCATATCCCTGGTGGAAGGAGACACCAACTCCAGAAAGTTGTCTCTGCCCTCCACACATGGGTTGTGGCACCCACATTTACACTCAATCTTACCCCATATCTCCACAGACTCTCCAAGGTCAGTGTAGTTTAAAGCAAAGTCCCATGTTGAGACCTATAAATACTAGTCAATTAAAGAGATGAAGCATTACACTGGGTGTGGTGACCTGTATCTTTAACTCTAGCCCTCAGGAGATGGAGGATCTGAAGTTCAAGACCAGCCTTGGCTACATAGCGAATTTGAGGCTAGCCTGTGACACATAAAACAGTGGCTCAAACAAAACCAAACAAGGAACCCAACCTGGGTTTAGAAATATACTATTTCCTGGAAACCTGATGGAAGAATTTGATCCAAATGGTTTCAAAAGTGGCCTGAGAATCTGGGTGTAGTGACAAAGACTTTGATCCCAAGATTTGGGAGGCAGTGGTGGGCTGATATCTGAGTTTGAGGACAGCTTGGTCTATCTACTCAGTGAGTTCTAAGACACTATTGCTAATTGTGAAACCCTGTTTCAAAAAATAAATGGATTTGGGAGTCAGGAAGGTGGGCTAGAGAGATGGCTCAGTGTCTAATAATCCTTAACTGCTTTTGCAGGGTGATGAAGCGAATTTCCAGCCATTTTAACCAACAGTGATTGGCCCCAAGACAAGGCCATGGTGTGTGCAGAGCATCGTGAACACAGCTGTGCTCTGCATCCCATTGTGACTCCTGAGACACAGTCCAACTGCAAAAGGCCAACACTGTCAACAAAGAAGAACTAGTCACTTGCTTAAGCACACAGCTCCCCTTCCTCTCTCCTCCTCCTAGCTTGGTGAAAGGATCCTAGTCTGTAAGAGATGCATGCTTGCTTAGTGTGAGCTCTTCTCATGTTCTCTGAAATAAACACGCCTGCATTTGAATCCAGTCTCCTGACTTTTTCCCCACATTTTTTCCTAACATGGTTCTCAATCCTGGAACAGGCACTTGGAGCAGAGGACCCTCTTGCAGCCCAGGGAGCATGTGCAGCAGCAGGTCACCCAGGGCTAACCTTGGATCCAGAGGTGTCCCTGAGTTAGTCCCTTGCTTTCTCTGTACCTCTCCTAGTTTCTCCCATGCACCCTTCCTCTGCCAGCCCTCTGGACTGATGTTTGCAGATTGCCTTGGGCAGGAACTGTTCAGCCCACATACATGTACATACACACACAATATAAAGAAAATGTAGTATAAACACAGAGCTAAGATATGGTTCATTGGTTAAGATTACCCACTGGTTTCCAATAAGACCCAGGACTGGCTGCCTGAACCCACAGTCGTATGTAACTCCAGTTCCAGGGGATCCAATGCTCTAATCTGGCCTCCCCGCATGCACATGGTACACATACATACACACAGGCAACACACATATACATAGAATAATTGAATAAGTCATTGTTAAATGTAATAAAAACTACAGAGGGGAAGATAGGTTCAGGTTTAGGGGGACAGCTGACTGAACGTATGTTTGTGTACCATATGGATGCCTGATGCCTATGGAAGCCCCAGGACTGTGTCAGATCCCTTGGAACATTCTGATCCACAATGCAGTTCTGATCCACCATGTTGAACTGGGATTATTTTTTTTAAGAAGAGCTAGTACTCTTAACTGCTGAGCCATCTCTCAAGTACCCCACACCCACCCCAGTACTTTTATTTTTAATCATAGATTCTCATCATATAGTCCTGGCTGGAATGGAAATAGCTATGTAAACCAAACTAGCCTAGAACTTGTGGCAGTCTTCCAGTCTCTACCGAACCCTAGAATTACAGGCATGTGCCTCCATGCTTTACAAAGGAGAATAAAATGATATATACACATAAAAATTGTGTAAAATGCTGCACTGACCAGTCATAGTAGCACAGAACTTTAATCCCAACATTTGGCAGCAGAAGCAGGAAAATCACTGTGAGTCCAGGCCTGCCAGGGCCACATAGTGAGTCCCTGTTCTAAAGAAAACTGACTAGGAAGAGACTGGTTCTGCTGACAGGCATGGGGGCAGGTAGCATTTCCTTCCTTGTGATTAGTATTGAAACTACCCACACCTCAAATGAAGTTTACATCTTTTTCCTTCACAACACAGAGGCATCACCTGTCAGAACAAACAAACAGAGAAGGGCAGCACAGCATGGGTGTGAACACACACACACACACAGACACACACACACATTCTAAATATATAAATATAATACAAATTAATGTTAGGGCCTCCAGATATGGATTAGCAGTTAAGGGCACACACAGTCCTTCTCCAGGACTTGAGTTCAGACCCCAGCACTGTCATCAGGTGGCTCACAACTGCCTGCAATTCCAGCTCCTGGGGATCGATGCCCTCTTCTGCCCTGAAAGGAACCCACACTCACAGGCACATACCCTACAGGTTTTTAAAATTTCATTTAAAAGTTTAAAAGATTAATTTCCTGCAAGGAGAGGTGGCTCATCAGTTAAGAACACTGGCTGCTTTACTGAAGACCCAAGTTCAATTCTCAGCACCTACATATGGGCTCATGATTGTCTGGAACTCAAGTTCAGGCAGATCCAAAACCCTCTTCTGGTCCCCATGGGCACTAGGTGTGCATGTTATGTACACACTACTTACAAGTATATATAGCCCCCCCCAACATAAAATATAAATGAAAATTAAATAATTAATTTTAAAAGAAAATGTCATTTTGTCCAGGCATTGTGGTCACACCTATAATAGAAGCCCTCAGAAGACTGAAGCAAGAAATTAGAGTTCAAGGCCCTTACATAGCAAAATTTTGGATAAGGAAGGAAGGAGAGAGGAAGGAAGGGAGGGAGGGAGGGAAGGATTCTGCTGTCTTATGAGTTCACCATACAGAATCCCACAAGATTCCCTCAGTTTCTGCAGCTTAGACCTCTCTTCCCTGACATCTGCATGGCTGGCCCCTCACTCCTGCTGGTCCAGTAGAGAGGAAGACACACTAACCTTCAGCAGGGCTTTAGTAGGAGAAGTAGAGTGTAGTCTTCACACACAGTCGTGGTGAGCCTTCAGTTTAGAAACACAGAGGGAATGTATGGCTCATTCAGGTGTCTAGGAAGTGAGGAATGTTCCGCATCACATGACCTGTGAAGTATAAGCTGAGAAAGCACCCAATACAAGCAGGGTTAAACCTATGTAGATGGATACACACCACCATAAATTCACATCAAGTTGGAATTTAGCTTTGCGTCACTGGAACAATCTTTAGCAGTGTGAGGAAGGGGAAATAATTCTGGGCAGCTAAAGATAAGATCAATACTTTCCATGGGAATTCAGTGATTAAATTCAAGTATTGCATGCAAAGTGTGTATATTACAAGTAAAGAGAAAAAAAGGAAGGATTAGTAATGAGCCAAGATTTTCAAGGCTGCAGTTTATCTGTTGGGTGAAAACTGGCTTGGAATTGTGGGCCTACACCACCATGCCTTCCTCAGCCACAAAATGGTTTTGTTGTTATTGTTTTTGTTATTTTGTTTTAAAAGATTTGCTTAATTTTATATGTGTGAGTGTTTTGCCTGCATGTATGGAAATTCACTGTATGTGGGACTTGTGTCAGCAGCACCCAGAAGATGGCATTAGATCCCGGGAAACTGGAGTTATGGATGGCTAAAAACCACCAGGTGGAGGTTGGGAACCAAACTTGGGTCTTCTGCAAGAGCAGTAAGTGCTCTCATTTGTTGAACCATCTCTCTAGCCCCAAGCTTAAGTGTACTGCTCTTCGGCTAAGTTGCAAGTTGTTCTATTTTTTCTCAGATACTCATTTCTTTTCAGTCTTGGGGACTGAACACAGAGCTTCACATATTAGGCAAATACTGTGCCACTGAGCTATGCTCTCAGCCCTAACTTTTCTGTTCATTTGTTTCTTTTCATTTGGTTTGGTTGGGTAGCCCTGGTTATCCTGGAACTCACTATGTAGATCAGACTGTCCTTGAACTAAGAAATCTACCTAAGTTTGTCTCCTATTTCTGGAATTAAAGCCACACACCACCACACCTGGCCCAGGCTAGATTTTCCCAAAGGTATTGACG